GGCTGCCAAGGTTCCCTGCCTGGCCAGGCGCATCAAGAAAGCCCACAACACCGGGTTGCGCAGGTCCTGCGACTTGTTGTGCATGATGTCCAAGGTGATGACCTCGCAGTCATACTTTTTGAGCTCCTCCCACTCGTCGGCCTTTTCCCCCGCGAAGAGATGAAGCACCACACGTTTAGCCGCCAGCAACCGTCGTCGCTGCCGTCGACTCCATGGAAGAGCACCACCACCAAAATCGTGCTCCTCCGTCATGTACCGGAAGATCCTGGCAGGAACCTCAGGGAAGCGTTGGCTCCACCAAGTCAGCAGCTCCTCCTCCAAGTTCTCCTCCCGGTAGACATCATGTTTTTCCTCTCCACCTCCTCGATCTCCCGGATGAGCAACAGGGCGTCTTCCTCCAGCACCACGGGACAACCTTCACGAAGGCGAGAAACGATCTTCCCCTTACGGGGGTGCTCCACAGCACAACCACTTCTGGACCACACCATCTTGTAGCCCAGCTCAATCAACCCTCGGACCGGCACGATGGGCTCCACCGCGTCGGCCGACAACAACGTACCCGTCACCGGGTCTTGGTGCAGCATGATTGAGCCATGTGCCAACTCCACATGAACCCTCTCAGCCTTTTCCAGTTCACCAGGTAGAGCTTGACGAAGGGGGTGAGTTGCACCACCATCCAAAAGCCCCAGCGCGGTGCCCGCGCCCAAGTTGCCACCCCCGTCCCCTGGAGATGCATTTCTACAATAAATAAGTGCTAAAGGAGAAATCTGATTTTAGATGCTATACACTGCAAAAGCGGGATTTCGACTTTATAGTCGGAGATGTAAGATTGCTGCTGGTCTTGGGATTGCTGCAAAGCTGCTGATCAGCAAACAATTTCCCAAAACACATGTCGGGTGGGGAAAACTCGAAACTTATCTGAAGAGGTGGGGATAACTCGAAAAATTTTTTACGGGTGGGGATCGCTCGTAATCTACCAAACAAGTTCTTTTAGGTGGAAACGTTGCATTTTTTCTTGCGCGTGCTTGCCATTCATGACTGCTTGTTCCTGTACTTGCCATGCATGAATTGAGCATTCATGACCCGATCTGCAGCCATTTTTGATGTTGAAGTTCTTGGGGGGCGCGTGGCTCCTGCTTGCTTACAAATATGCATGGGCCCCAGTTTCATGCACAGATGCTGGCAGAAAAACATGTGGCAATGCGCAACCAGATGCTTGCTACTTGCACGCTTGCAGAATGCATCTTTGGCTCATTCAATGGAGCGCTGATTAATCGCGTCCGAACTCTATATGGAAAGGGATTGGAGGTATGAGAAGGATTGGACAACTTGTTTTTTTATGTTGAAGGAAAGACCTGATTTCTTCTTGCAGGACTGGTCCCCGCCAAGTCCAACTACTGAGATCTTGAGTGACACAGAGGAGGACTAAACTCAAACTTTTGAGTTCTGAACACATTTTCCCCTCTTCTCCAGGAACTTACACATGAGACTGCACAACGGTTGTCAGATGAGGACTGTGATTGAGTGCAAGCCCTTTGGAAGATCTTCATGTCCTTTTCAGTCAGACTGTTCTTTATAGTTTTTTGGTTGCACTGCTAAGTCTTGATAGGAAAAACAGAAGTGGCTGGACAGACTTGAGGAGACGAGGTTTGCTGGGTTTGTTGCTGTTCGTTCCCATTTGGACACACTTGATGTTTTGTTCACTGGCCAGGCAGAAAGCATGCGAGGAGCACCCGCATAACACTGTGCTTGTCAAAGCTCTGGGCCGAGTGATGTCGATCATCAAGCCACCACCGAAAAGACAGCCTGTTCCTGTGGAGCAGCTTGTGAACAAACCGCCTCCTGCTCAACCGGTGAAGCAGTGGGCAGACTTTCCGGATCTACCTAGACCTCCGTCCGTGCCTCCACCACAAAAGGCAGCTTTCTTGGCTAAATGTCCTCCTCCCCGAAAGCGTGGTTTGGAGAACAGCTCAGACAGTGAGGCGGGCAAGTTTCCAATCTTTTGTTTTTGCAAATTGGCTCGCAAAACACGCCCCGCTTTAAAATAGTGACTTTGCGCATTCATGATTCATATTTGTCATTTTGCAGGTCAAAGCTCAGGAAGAGGTGATTCGAGAAGGAGGCTGGAAACCAGCAATTTCCTTTGCTAGACAGAGTTGATGAGCAAATGCTGTGCAGGCAAGGCCTACGCTGTGAGTGCAGCTGGTGTGAAAAGGTTTATCAAACCAAAGAATCGCCCCACTTAATTGAGAGAAAACAATGAAGGCATGCGCGCATGTGGTTTCAGTGCGTGATTGAGGTGATTGATGAATTTCTTCACTTACACGATGGTGCACACACTCATTTTGTGAAGTCTGCCCAGGTCTGCATGGCCCCGGGCTGGACAAGGTACCGGCCATGGATGTCTTCGACAAGTGCCCTGATTTTAATCATTAATTCATCGAGTCTTCCTGTCTCACTGCTCAATTCATGATTGACATACATGGTTGGACATACATGGTTGGCCATGCATGAAATTTTGACATGCATTTGCCATTGACCATGCATGCTTTGCCATTCATGTTTGGATGCATTGCCATGCATGATCCTGCAGCCATTTGAGGGAAGGGGTCGGCGTTGATAACAACACCATGGCAGTCAACAATGTTCGCATGAAGCAGCTTGCGACCTGTCCGGATTTGGTGGATGTATACGTGAAGCAGTGGTCGCGGTTTGATGACCTGAAGCAGGCCATCTTTTCCATGGAACCTACTGTTTACAAATTCCTGTGATGGAAGGCTGGCTTCTCAATGGTTCGAGAGCACTCCCAACACCTTTTCGAGAAGAAATCCTGCACCATCAAAGACATCATTCTGAACAAGGAGGCGCGCTTCCTATGTGTCAGTTTTGCTTTTTAATTATGTCAGTGTTGTTTTCCTATGTGTCACTTCAGATGGACAGGTTGTCATGGGGATCATGGTTGGCTCGCCTGGAACCGATACACGATTGTCTGAGGAGGTGATTTCTGCTGCAATAGTGAAGTTCTACAAAATGCATCATACAGTACCTCTGGGTGTGGCAGAAAGTGTGATTGAAAAGTGGGGTGCGAAAATGGCTAGTGCAGCTGTCAGGTGCACTTCCCGTTTCAAGCGTTTGTACTGGGCTTCAGAGGGTGCAAAAGAAAAGGGCCTCCGAGAAATGAAAGTTTGGGTGACAAATGAATTGGAAAGAAAGAAAGCTGGAGATGGATCCGATCAGCTGCAAGTTGATGAGGCTCCAGCGGACCCAGGTTCAATCAAGGCTCCAGCGGACTCAGTTTCGATCCTGAATGACCCAGGCTTTGATTGGGAGAGCTTGGAAAAGAAGCTGGCTGATTTGAATCTGAATGCTTCCAAGGTTGAGCTGCCTTCCAGGAGTGGTTCCGATGTCTCTGAGGCCAAGTCGCCACCAGGTTTGCCTTGTCATAAGAGCCCGGACAAGCCAGAGAAGAAGGAGAACCAGCTCACACTGCCCAAACAAGTCTTTGTCTTAGCAGATTGTTTGGGTTCTCCTTCATGATTGAGCTTGAGTCAATTTTCAATTTACAGAACAATAAGTGTTTTCGTGAGGTTGTTGCAGGATTGAAGGACATTTTGGCAGCGCCCACACCTTTTGCTGTCCACGGGTGCGAAGGTGAGGAGAAGTGTGAGTTGAGTGATGCTGTAGCAGAAAAACAGCCGACCAAGAAGTCAGCAACTGGTGGCAAAAAAAAGAAGAGGTCACCTACAAAGCATCGTGGGAAAAGACAAGTTCTTAGAAACACCAAAGCTTTGAAGTGTGCTGGAAAGCAAAAAGGTAAGGCAAAGCCAGCCAAGAGTGCAAGGCCTGTGGCCAGGCCTTTGGCAGGTAGCTCCAAAGGCCCTGAGAATCCAAGCTCTGATGGCTACTGCCCGCATGAGTTCTCCAGAAAGCGCAAGGAGTTCATTCAGAAGGTCCGTGAAGAACAGAATGTCTCTTTCCGGGAAGCCAATGACATGTGGATGCAGTCCCATGAAAGGATTTCCTACATATCCAATTTGAGCGTTCAGGAACAGAAGCGACGGAGATTTGCGTAGACATTTTTACTGCAAAGAACCTTTGCTTGGCTGCCAATATTTTTAGGGTTGGGGCGCAGATGGAACATCAGCGTGAATGGAAATGCTCATTGATCCAGGCAATGGCCAGGATATCATTGTAGGGGTTCAAAGCTGGTGATGATCTGCTAGGGTGAAAATCTAGAAAGTGTTTTGCTAGTCTACCTGAAAGGGATTGGTACATTTGATGTGCAATCACCTGGAGTCGTGTGGCTGGAATGATCTTGCACGCAGCTTTTGGTTTTGTGTGAGGGCACACAGAGTGCAGTAAAGTCGGCCCTGATGGCTGAGATTGATCTGAAATGCTTGTGCCTTTGGAAACTGCCAGTGTGCTTAATCATTGTTCTCCTCTTGGTTTTCCACCATCCAGCCATCAAGCTCCGGCAGGCTGGGGTGATGCATCGTAAAACATGTGCTCTATACAAAGTGCCATTCACAGTGCCTTGCCCCAGGACCGGGATTTTGTGGAGCTCTTTGCAGGTGAAGCTCAAGCTTCTGCAGCCTTTCGTGAGGCAACTAATGATATGTCCTGTTACATGTTTTTGTGTTACATATGTGTGTGAGGCCGGGCTGAAAGGCACCCACTTGGACATAAACCTAGATGGCAAGGGCACCTTCAATATTCTTTTCGCGAGCGGCTTTGTGCACGGGTCTTGGGAATCCCGATTTGAGGTAGGCTGCCTACAGATTGATGAATGTGCTTTGTGAGGCTGGCCTTGATTGAAGTGGCAAGGCTCCGCCCAGGAGCACTCCTTTTGGTCGGACTTCCTTGCAGCAGTTTTTGTGCTCCGTGTGCCCCCCAGTAGTTCAACAATATCTGCAGTCCCTCAGTTTCAACTTGTGTCGGAGTTGTGTTCCATTCATACTAGGTCGAGAGGAACACACCAAAGATCCATACTGTTTCCAGAGGGAAACTCTGGATATCATTCTGTGTTCATTGGCAATGCCATTGCGTGGAGAACAGCCCTGATCCTTATGTTTGCCAGCAGCCGCGGTATTCGATGGGTGCTGGAGCAGCCTGAGAACAGTGCAGCTGTCTGGCATCCAGCTCTAGATCGGGTGTTTTCCCTGTACGAGGCCTGCCAGCTGTCCTTTCAGCACAGTGTAGTCCACACGCGCGCTGCCAGGTATGGACTTGCAGTATTTGGCAAGGACTTTACACGTGGTTCATGGGAACTCCAAAGAGACAAAGATTGTGGTCCAATGATCCTGAGTTTTTGAGGGGGCTAGCTGCGTGTGCCCAGACTATGCGTCCAGGGGACCGGCAGAAGTTCCAAGGTGAAGCGCTCACCAAACGACATAGAAGATCAGATGGAACCTATTCTTGGTCTGGAAAGGGGGACGTCTTGAAAGCATCTCAGTAACTAGGATTCAATATTGTGTACAAAGTCTTGAGCTGGTTCATTGAACAAGCTTTTGGGAATCATCCTTGTGCCTGAGGGCTTACGCCTACTGCTTCGGAAAGCACATGGCTTTGCTCCAGAAGCATGCGCTGAAGACTCCAAGCTACAAGGTCGCTTTCACACACTTAGGTCCATACATACTTGTTCAGGATCACTGCTCACATTTGATTGCTATGCCAACTAGAAATTGCAAGGACCTCCCGAAGGGGCCAAAGGTCATTGAAGAGCTAGATGTGCAGATCTCTGATTTCAACCTTTTGGAGGCGTTTTTTGATTCAATTTGCGAGTTCCTGTTTCCACGAGATTTGAAACGCTTTTGGAAGGCTTTGGTGGGAGAGAAGGACCCTTTCTGGAAGAAGGTGTGTGTAGTTTAGATGTATGTTGTATAGTTGGCACTATAGTGTGCTTACATGCATTGAGGCTGAGATGGAGGATGTTGTTCGCTATCTTCTGAACTCTCACCGGTTGCCGCCTATTTGGGGAGGATTTGTTCAGAACAAGGCCAACCAGTGGCTTCAAACTGTGTAAAGCACATGGTTTGCTTTTGGAGAGCAATGATGTGTTTCTGATGCAAACATGTCTTGCAGTGTTCATCAAAGATTACTGGCAGGGGGAGCCGTGAAAAGGCGTGTATTTCTACATTAAAAACGTGCCAGTGTAACGCAAATGCCCGTGAAAACCGTGAATTTCTGGACACTCAATTTGGAATGATTCTCAAGTAGCTGATTTCACTGATTTCAATCTGTTTTCCGACATTTGTGCTTTTGCCTGTCTTTGCCATGGGTGGGAAGAGCATTGCTAAGAAAGTTGAGCAGTTGAAGAAGAGCCTCAATGGCCGTGCACCCACAGCAGAAGAACTTGCTGCTGCAACAGGGCTGACCCTTGAATCAGTCAAGTCAGTCTTTTCAGCTGAGCTGAGTCCAGAAGACTTTCCTGACCCTGCACGCCCTGCTTCTGCAAAAATTCCTGAGCCAAAGAAGGCATCCAGGAAAAGGAAGAATGCTGATGCGCTGCCTGAAACTCTGCCTGAGCCAGAGAAGGTTCCTCGCAGGCGCAAGGTCAAGGAGGTCAAGGAACCAGCTGCTGCTGTCGCTGGTCCGAGTGCGCCTGCCTGTTCAGATATGGATGTACCTGTCTTCCCTTTCCCTGAATCTGCTGGAGCGTTGAAGGACCAGACACCATCCAATATGCTATGGTCAAACTGGTTACTTTCAGTGGACGCAGGACCAATCAAGTCTGGAGAAGACAGAGCCCTGTTCCCAGTTGTTTCTTTTGGGATTGTGCGCGGACCCTGTCTTGATTCTTTTGCAAGGTCTTTGGAGACAGTTGAGTATGGCCAAAGGCTCCTGAAAGGTCAGGCCCCATCTTCACAGAGCTTGCTTCAAGAGTCGCCAACACCTTAGAATTCTTTTCAGTGTATTTTGGAGGGCATCTAATTTTTTGAATTTGGCAAACTGAGGGTAGAGGAGATCTTTGACTCGCAGGCTACGATCGATGGTGGTGAATTGTCTCCGGAAGAGATTAGAAAGCTCAAGGCCCAAACTTTGGAGACTGCAGGTGAAGCGACAGGTCTGCATAATGCAAATCAGAACGACACTGTGCGAGACAGTATTTCTCCTGATGCACCTGTACCAGGTGTTTCTCTTGATGCACCTGCGTCAGAAGGTGTTTCTCCTGAGGTTGCGCCTGAGTCTGCTTCCAAGCTTCCTCAGGGAATAGCTGTCAAGAAGGAACCTGTGGAGCCACCTGCTGTCATCAATTCATCAACCAATCGAAAAGAATATATGGTCTTGAAGAGGCTCTGTGAGTCCGGGAGGGTTGATGACTTTCCCAACATCAAGCGGGTCTTTGATGGTGGCTCAAGGGCTGAGAAACAAGCCTTGCTGGCAAACTGGGTGAAGAATGGGCAGGATGCCCAGGCAGTGGAAGGTCTTCTGAAGGTCCGTGCTAGCCAGAAGTCTCAAGGTGAAGCCCGCCAGGAACTTTTGACAGTTGCTGCCATGAGACGGTTGGGCATGTCTGAGTGACTCGCATGCTGTTTTGGAATGTGTTATGTTTGTTTTGGTGATGGCCTTGATCTGATTCCGACCTTGTGCTCTGATGCCTCATTTAAGGCCAAAGATCGAAGCAGTTGTTCGGCGAGGCAACGGTGTCCCTGACAGTGATTGTCCGACTTCGATGGAGGACATGTCCTACTGGGTCACAGTATCCCGCTCACGCACAGAGACCGAGACACTGGAGAAGACGGCTGAGGTCTCTGGTGAGGTCAAAGGACAAGATGCTTTGAGTGTGATCCTGAACTCCGATTTGAGGGCTGAGCAGTTGACAGGTGTGCCAAGTGCATCGAGTGGCTCCGCTCCCCCGACTGATGCCTTGTTGAAGTTTGTCCGGGAATCTGGAGCAGGTCCAAGCTTGACAGTTGCCCATGTCATGTTTTGTCATGTCACACTTGATCATGCACGTGCAACCATGGTGTACTTGTTCCTACTAGGTGATGGACATGGTGCTGCAGCTGAAGCAAAAAGGCAAGCCAGACCAAAAACCCGATCAGCCAAGGCGAAAGCTACACCAGAAGGACCCAAGCCAGTCTTGAACGTGAAGCTTGAGGGGCTCACTCTGGCCCAAAAGAAAAACAAGGTGAGTTGGGTGCTGAGTCTGTTTTTATCTGTTGATATCTGTTGCGTGTTCAAACTGGCAGGACGTTTTTCAGACTATATTGAATACTTTGAGGTTCTGAGCTCAAGAAGGAGTTGTCGCACCTGAACAACTATGTCTTGGAATTGAGTCACTCTGGGACTGGTGGTGATTTTGAGAAGTTCATTGTAAGCATGCAGAACATGGCGCAGAACATTACAAACGCTTACAACAAGCCAGAACCTTAGTTTTCTTGGATAGCTTAATCAGTGAGTGTGTGCTTTGGCCTTGAGGCTTGTGACCTTGCAGTCGGATGAGGGGTTTGGACCTGTTTGGCAGGAATGCTGCGACAAGGTGGACCGTTTTGAACCAAAAACAGAAAGTGTCAATGAATGCGCTGTAAATGTCTTTGGGTGAGGTGGAGCAATGCCGCATGTTGAAGGCACAGGTGAAGGCGATTTTGAATGAGCTCAAAAAGCACGGCTGGCAAGTTTTGTTTTTTTAATGTACACATTTTGACAAACAGTGTCGCCAGGGGCTACTTCAATGCAGGGAGCTGACTTGAGGACGCCTGGGTATAAGTTGTTTCAAAAGAACAATATTGAAACGTTGCTTGCACAAGGAGTTCGGATTGTGAAGCTTTACCTTTTTGGATTGTGGCCCACGTTCACTTGGATGGGGTAGTGAGTGTTGATGTCACGCATGGAATCCTTTGTCATACACAGGATTTGTTCACATCCATGTAGCACAGTATAAGTGTTTGCTCTGGTCAGGATTCCAGTTGGGTAGGTGCTCGGCTTCTAGTTCTAGCGATCATAACTTGCAGCTCGATGATTCCAGGAAAAGGTCGCTAGTGAAATCACAAGTTGGAAGTTAAGCAGTGCAACTTCAGCGAGTCTTTGTATGGGGTGCTTTTGTGAGAGGTACCGGGGACTTTGAGCGGCTGAGAAGGGATCTTGATGAAAGGCGCCATGGGTTGTTTTTATAAACAGGTTGATCTATTTTGCTTGCAGGATTGGAGCGGCAGTTGGCTCTGGAGAAGCTAGCATTGCTTTAGCTACTGATCTTGGGCGACGATATGGGTCATCTGTTTTTTCCAGGCTGGATGATGCATGCTCACAATTTCTGTGTACCTTTTGGTACCCAACTGCCAGGTCAGCGAATACTACATCGGAGGCTCAATTGCACAGGAAGGTTCAGAAAGGCAATCTCTGCCTGGAAGCACGCATTTCATGGCACCACCTGCCAATGCTTGTGGGTGAAGAAGTTCAACTCCGCGAGTGGCCGTTGATTTTACCATCGGATTTTATCCACAGCTCAGGTTGCTAGTTTGTCACTTGCATGTGGATGCTGGTAGTGTGACCCCTGTTCCTTCCAAATCGCAGTTTGTGAGTCTCAGGCGGATGCTATGATAGCTGCTGGGTATGCTGATGTTTTTGGGATATGCCCACCGGACTATTGGAGACGCATGCATTCAGCTACTGGCTTTCAGAGCTTGAATCAACATGCTATTCCGATTCTGCTGTATGGTGATGAGGCCACCTGCAAAGGTACAAGTTGGATGGTCCTCACTTGGCAGTCTGAAATCTGTCCCAGAACTGAAGATGCCATATTTAGCCGCCATTTGATTGGAATCATTCCATCGGAGGCCTACTTGATTGATGAAGATACAGGTATCAACAGCACTCTTCAAGAAGCCTTGCAGCTTGTTGTTTCTTCTCTGTCCACCATGGCAACAGAAGGGATTGGGAGCCCTGATACGTTTTTCTTCGAATGCATTGGGGTGAAAGGGGACTGGAAGTTCCACCGGCAGTGCTTCAACATGACTTTGAGGCATTACAATCGGAATGAATTTTGTTATTGGTGTGAAGGGACAATGGATTTGTCTCTCCCAGTAACTGACCTTTCAGAAGCAGCAGGATGGAAACGCACAGCCTTCAATCTTGAGAGGCCACCATGGCAAGTCGAGCCTGTGTTGTGCCAACTCCGTATGTTCACAATGAAGTTCATCATGCCAGACATACTGCACATTTGGCATTTAGGCACGGGCCGCGATCTAGTTGCATCGGCCCTGGTGCTTTTGATGAAGAAACGCAACTTCTTTCCCGGTCGCAACATGAAATTGAGGTTCAAGAGTGCAACTGCCATGCTGCAAACCTGGAACCGTCAACATGGCAAAGGACTTCCAAGGAAATGGAAACTTAGCAAGAAGAAAATCAATATGAAAGGTGGACAAGATGCAACCCTGCGAGACAAAGGAGCTACTATGCAAGTTCTGTTGGCCTGGCTTGTGGATTTGTTGAGCCAACGTGATCCTGGAGACAACC